TCGAGTATAGCAGGGATTGTGGGGCTGGCGCGGGATCGGGCAGTGTTTCGTTCTGCTGTGCATGGGGTCGCTATGAGTCGGAAACGACTCGATGGCACTTAACAACAATAACAACATCAAGGCTCAGCTGGGTTCTTCCCAGAGAAATCTTCTCTGGTGATACTTCAAATGGCCAAGTCCCCTGGGCCTTCCTTGACCGTAGTACTCAATCTCTGCATTTAACTTCTCCTTCATTTGTCCCCCACATAGATCTGAAGGTAGGATCCATACTGGCCTTGTTCACTGATGTGTCCCCTAGTACATAGCAGGGGCCTCTACATAAGCAGTACATAGTAGGTGCTTAGTAAATATTTGCTGAATAAATTCTTGCAGGTGAAGGACATGTGTTGTTGTTATGGATGGAATTGTGTCACTCCAAAATTTGTGTTGGAATCCTAGCCCCTATCCCTATGGATGTAAGCCCAATTGGGAGTAAGGTTTTATTTGTTATGCTAATGAGGCCACAATCAGTGTGGAATGTGTCTTAACCAATCTCTTGAGATATAAAGCAGGAGGCTGGCTTTATATGGGGAAGATAGATACCAGGCCACATGTAGAGCCAAGCGACAGAAGCTGAAAAAAGACAAGGACCTTCCCCTACAGCCAAGAGAGGAAGACTTTTCCTAGAGCTGCTGGCACCTGGAACTGAGACTTCCAGCCTCCTTAACTGTGAGGGAATAAATTTATGTTATTGAAAGCCACTCATTTGTGGTATTTCTCTTATAGCAAATCCAAACCCATTGCTGTCAAGTCAATTCCAACTCATAGTAACCCTAGAGACATAGTTTCAGGGGATACCAAGCTCAATTGGCATAACATACTATGCAAAAACATTGTTCCACATTCTGCTTTGGCAAGTAGCAACTGGGATCTTAAAAGCTTGCAAGCAGCCATCTAGATGCAACAATGGGTCTATCCTCATCCAGAGCAAAGAAGAATGAAGAAAACCAAAGATGCATGGAAACAATTCATCCAAGTGACTAGTCCACCATGAGATCCTCAGCCTATGTGACTACGAAACCAGAAGAGCTAGATGGTGCCTAACTACCACTGTCAACCTCTCGGAGGGGGATCTATGTAGGAGATCCTAGACAGAGTGGGAGAACAATGTGGAACAAAACTCAAAATCATTTGGAAAAAAGAAAAAGGGGTGGGGGACAGGTTTGCTGGTCTGATAGAGCCTGATGGAACCACTGAGACTATGGCCCCTAGCTACCCTTCAGGTCTGGAATTGAACCCACTCCCGTGGCTTCCAGCGAAACAAAAGACAGTCATATGAGCTGAACATTTACATTAGATAGATACACTCCTTGGAGAGATCAATCATGGGAGAATAGAAGGGCAGTGTATGCACAGGGAGACAGCTCAGGGGGCCAGAGTGCATGAGAGGGAAGGACACAGGGAAGAGGTAACTATGGGGAAGAAGTGGGAGGAAAACTGTTGCATTGTGGGCAACTGCAGTCAATGTCATGAGACAAAGTGTATGTGAGCTGTTGTATGGAAAGTGAATTGGCTCTGCAAACTTTCACCCAAATCACAAATAAAGAAATAAAATAGTAACCCTAGAGAGGAGAGCAGAACTTCTCCATTGGGTTTCTCCCACAGAGCATCTGATAGGTTTGAACCACCAACTTTTTGGTTAGCAGCCAAACACTTAATCACCGAGCCACTAGGGCTCCTTCTATCATAGCAGCACTAGGTAATTAAGATGCTGGGTAAAATGCTTGTTGGGTGAAAAGCCTCCTTCGCAGCTGTGAAGAGCTGGGAGGGGGTCAGGGTGAGAACACTGGATTCCAGCTGCCACAGCACACGATGTGGAACAGAATCCTGTCTCTGGTCCCCACTCAGCAGCTGGCCTGGATAAGCTTCTTGGTTGCTCAGGACCTCAGTTTCCTCATCTATAAAGGTGAACTCTTTCTAGCAGGCTGCTCAAAAAACTTAAAGAGACGTCCTCTCCTCTTCTAAAAGCTGAGCTGTTAAAAGAGGGGGGATGGAGAGCCCACAGAATTCAAGGGAGCCTTCAATAATCAGAAATGCCTTCCATGTGGGGGCTTGTCCAGCCAAGCATGGCACCTCCGAGTGACATACTTGGAGTGCATGTTGCTCAAGTGACATACTCGGATATGCTCAGAGGCATACTCCTAGAGGAGCTGAAGTATATGGTGAAAGATTCAAGATGCAGTAGGTAAAACTTCAGATGTCAAAAGGACATGTTTGTGTGTGTGTGTGTAAGAGAGAGACATAGAGCATGTATACATGTAAGGGTGCTTTGGGAGTGTTGTTGTTGTTGTTATTTTGCCATCGAATCGGCCCCGACTCATAGCAATCCCTCATTGGGTTTCCAAGGCGGTATCACTACAGAAGTAGATTGCCCAACCTTCCTTCCAAGGAGTGGCTAGTGGGTTTGAACCGCCAGCCTTCTGGTTAGCAGTCAAGTGCCTTAGGCACTATGCTACCAGAGTGTACCCTAATATTTCTGAACCTTCAGATCACTGGACGCATGTAGAAAAATGCCTTTTGTAAATGACCAACAGCTCCCTTCCTATGAAATCTATTTTCAGGGCAAGTGGCTCCTGTCTCCAGCTCAAGCCATTTTCATGGGGGGAGAATAAGAACCTGACTCCCCTTCCCTCCAAAGTCATATACCTGGGAGAGGCTGTCAATGGGAAAAGCTGGAGAAGCCAGACTGAAAAAGGAAAAATCCTAGTAAATCAATAGCTATGACCCCTTGCCTGTGTGATATGGCCCTTGACAGGGCCCAAGACCCTTCCTCACCCAGCATCTCATCAGGTCCCCACAACTAAGGCCTATTCAGCCTGTTGTTGTCAGGTGCTGTCAAGTCAACTCTGACTCATGGCGACCCTATGTACAACAGAGTCAAACACTGACCAGTTACGTACCAGCTTCACAATCCTTGCTATAACTGAGCCCATTGTGTCAATCCATCTCATTGAGGGCCTTGCCCTTTTTCATTGCTCCTCACTTTATCAAGCATGATATCCTTCTCTAGGGAATGGTCCGTTCCGACAGCATGAGCAAAGTAGATCAGACAAAGCCATTCTCACTTCCAAGGAGCATTCCAGCTGCTCTTCTTACAGGACAGATTTGTTAGTTCTTCTGGTAGTCCATAATACTTTCAGTATTCTTTGCCAACACCACAATTCAAAAGCATCAACTCTTCTTTGGTCTTCTTTATTCATTATCCAGCTCTCATATGCATATGAGGTGACTAAAAATACCATGGTTTGGGTTACGCACTCCTTAGTCTTCAAAGAGACATCTTTTCTCTTCAGAACTTTAAAGAGGTCCTTTGCACAGATTTCCCCAGTGCAGTACTTCGTCTGATGTCTTGACTGCTGCTTCCATTGGCTTTGATTGTAGATCCAAGTAATATGAAATCTTTGACAACTTCAATCTTTTCTCCATTTATCCTGATGCTATTTACTTGTCCAGTTGTAAGTATTTTTGTTTTCTTTATGTTGAGGTGTAATCCATACTGCAGACTGTGCTCTTTAATTTTCATCAGTAAGTGCTTCAAGTCATCTTCCTTTTCAGCCAGCAAGGTTGTGTGTGGTCTACATATCGCAGGTTGTTAATGATTCTTCCTCCAATCCTGATGCAATGTACTTCTCATTCCACCCCTCAGATGAGCATGATTCCCATGTGGATGTTTTCCTCCCCCATTTTTCCTTTGGCCTCCACATAGGATGATGGTGGCAGCAGGTGTGTGCAGAGCATTTACATGGGCAGGGCACCACACCAAGCACTTTACAGACATCCCTTATGTAATCCTCCCAACTGCCTTATGTCCTGACAGGGAGCATTACCCAGTAAGCAAGGAACCCATAGGCACAGTTGTGCCTT